CATTGTATTAGTCAATTGTACTGAATTTCTGCAGTAAAGTGAATAAGGAATTCCTCCTAGAAATGTGTAACCTACCCTGACATCCACAAGGGAGCCAAATGGAGTCCAAGAGTAAATCTGAAGGCAATGTTTTCATGCTGTTTTTTACACATTTGAATAATGAGTATTTAATTTTCTGTAAAAACAGATGAAACCTAAGCAGTAATGAATATTGAGTATAAATCTGATACAGCACTTAAATGATTTCTGCAACCTGCAGTCCACTCAGGATGTAGAGACTTCATTATAATAGCCACAATGGACTTGGAATGTAATATCTGTAATGAGAAATAATGTGATTGATATAGCTGAAAAACAGATGTGTTTGGGGCATACATGCTCTTCCTCACATCTGGGATTTTTCTGGACATTTTTAGTAGCTAATACTACGCATTTTACCTTTACTTTTTTAAACAAAGAATTGTGATGCTGCTGAGCAAATCCATTTTCTGAAGAGAAAAAAAATATGTGACCAGCTACCGAAAGTGAGTAAGCAGGAGACCTTTATCACTTTAATGTATCACTGGATGCAACATTTCAGAGCTAGAAAACTGAAAAAGCAAGAACAGGCTTCTGTGACATACACGTATAGTCATAATAGAGAGCATTTCTGGTCATGAATACAGATCTGAGGTATCCTATAATTTAAGGTGCTGGAGCACAAGCTAAAGATTACATGATGCAATTTTCCATGTTTGTCTTTTTCACCCCTCACTTGAACTAACATGGATTCACTGATTTTGTTGAAGGTATTCCTCTTCTGTACCAACCCATATTTTTCTAGGGTCGATCTAGGAGAAAACTTGAGCTGAAAGTCTGACACTTTTAATATTTAAAAAACATTTAGAGTATTTGATAAACTTTTCATTTAATATAATGAAAATAAAAGAATCAGCTGACTATATATTTAGGCTAGATGTGCTCAATGTTGGGAATTCTGGTTTCCACAAACTGGAATTATCAAACAACTGAATGATCAAGTCTTCTGAAAACCAAATCTATGTGCAAATATAATTAAGAGTCCTAAAGTTTTTGTTTGATTGTTTGTTTTATTTTGTTTTTGTATCCTTTGAAATAATTGGGATCATCAGGAACAATCTCCTCCACTCCCTGAGAGTTGACGGTGGTATTTGGAGAACTGTAAATTCTTCTACTGTTTTCACTGTTGTGAACTTTATTAATCTGTGAACCCATAAAAATTCATCAATAAGGTGTGGGATCCTGTGTAGAGTCTTCAAATCCATGAACAATAAACTTACTTTCTACTACTGAAAGCACTGCCTTAGATACATGAAGCAATAAAAATATCTATAAAAGAATAGCAAGAAAAATATTTTGAGTGTGATCCAACATTCAAAGTATATTGATGCTGTGCATTTACCAGCCTCTTGATGGTATTCTAGACTCAAAACTAAGAATTAGTCTGAAAGAGACAGTGCTTTCAGGCAGCAGGAGGCTTTGAGATCTCAGTGCTGAAACATTTTCTGTTTATGTTTTGGCTAGTGTTTCTCTGTGTCTAAAACTTTTCTCAAGTTCATTGACTTGCATCCAGAAATGTCATTAGCAAAAAATGCTTAAAAGGATTCTTCCTAGGCCTTCGTTCTAGGCCTGGCTGACCACAAAGCCCTGCCTTGAGAAGTGGTCACCTTGACTTCCTCTGCTTCTGGCTCCAGCTAAAACACATCCCAAGGTATCTGAAGATGTGGGAACAAATCCTACCTAAAGACAGATTGGTGAGTATCTGTTGATTTTGATGAGGTTTTGACAAGGCAGCCTGGAAGAGCCGCCTTCTCATATTCTCTCATGCCCTCTGAATACTTGTACACATGTTGTAAAATCAATCTATACAGACAAAATAAATAGCCTCTTAGAATCCATTATAACCATAATGGCTTCTTAGACTAAAGGAGTATGATAATGTGTTTGTACAGCTAATCAGTGTAGCATTCCTTACTAATGTTTCCTGAGTAGTTACTGTATTGGAGTGTTAATCATGATTGTTCTGATTATCAGGAATTGTTCTTAAAAAAAAAAAAAAAAAAAAAAAAAAAGTAAGATAAATACTTTCTTCTAATAAACAGACCAAACATGAAAAGAGAAAAAGAGAAAAAAAAATACAAAATTTAATGCTTTTTATACTACCAAGTGTTCATATTTGCTTAATATTTTTGAAAGACCACTTTTCTGAAAACAAAATAATATTTTCAAATAGCTTAACTTTGTATTTTGAGCAGTGGCATTTGCTCGTATGGGACTCAATTTCCAGAGCACCAAGCCAGAAAACATGGAACTGTGTTGATCCCACCAGTGAAGGATCTGGACTTGTTCTTGATTTTTGTGCTGTGATAAATACACCTAGGAAGACAGGATCCTGTTCCTGCCTCAGCCATCAAACACGCTGCTGCCATTGGGTAGCTGGATTTAGATGTGCTGTTTTGGGAGGCGAGGAAACTGATGCAGGTCATTTTAAAAACATGTCCAAGGCAACAGAGAAGTTGCAGTAGGATCAGAACTCAAGAAATCTTGATTATGGTTCAGGGGTTGTACCGCAGTTAATATCCATCTCAACCTTTAAGTAGTGTGGCTGCCGCAGACAGATCATCATATTCTTCCTCGCACCAGTCCTGGTGCTACAAAACACTTACTGTGTTATTAAGGAAAATGTATTTAAAGCCTGTCATTGATTCAGAGCCTGCAGTCTTACGGGCACTATGTCATTTATCTTCCTTGTAAGTGGGAAAAATTCCTGGACTCTATTTTTTCTCCATAGAAACTACAAAATAGAAGTCAATGAAATTAATGAAAAGCACTGGTATCATGTGGACAAGAGGGCATATATTCAGCTCTTTCTTCAGCCATTCAGTCTAATGGGAAATAAGCCTGCGTGTTGACTGTATGACTGGGGCCAAAGCTGGAGATTGGTTTTAATGCATCCACAGCCTAATCATTTCACTTAGGGAGCTGTCAGTTACCAGAGCAAAATAGAAAAGATGCTGATTACCTGGACCAGACTCTGCTCTTATTTGTGTCCAGCAGTCTCCCTGGTTGCACCTGCTTCTGTGCAACTGCAGGCAGAACTTGGCCCTGTGTCCCCAGTTCCCTGGGTTGTCTTTGAACCAAAGGAACAACACTTAGAGATGGGCATTTGGAGAATTGCTAATGGCAGGAAATTCCACAGTTCTCCTGACATTAAGGCATTGTAAACACTGAAAGAAAAGAAATATGTGTTGTGTGGTTTGTGGTTCTTTTTTTTTTTTTTTTTTTTTTTTTTCTTTTGGCGTGCAATGCCTAAAGCCTTATCTCTCATTCTGTCAGGAACCAAGGACTATGTATACAGATGGTGCAATTTATTATGTTCTGTACTGTGACCAAGTGCTGAAATACCTTCAGGAAATCACCAGAAAGCCTGAAAAGCTTTGCTGTCTCTTGTGACTCCAGCTCAGTAAAACTATAATTGAATGAGCACAATATATTAAGCACTATATGTTACACAGTAGACTTACAGAAAAGGACGCCATCTTTTTCAGCATCATTACAGAAAATATATTTGCTCCACAATTACTGCTTGTACCCAATGTCATGTTGTCTCTCTTTCTCTATATTCGACCCTTAAAAACCCACTAGATAGGGATTTACAAATAAATGTCTAGCCACAATGGGACTAGTTCAAGTCAGGTGTAACTCCATTAAATTCCACTATATTGTCCTCATTTGTAAGATGTTGCTGAGCCCGATAGCCCTGACATTTAAACCAGCATCTGTTGGGATTGAAATGAATGGAGATACAGTGGCGTGAAAAGAGAATTTTAGCCCTGTATTGGCTGAGGGGTTAATGCATTTTCATTCTTGTTCCACTGAGCGGGTTTTTATGAAACAATTTATGAAACTTGGCTCAGCGGGTGCAAGAAATGGGGGGGAAAAAATAAAATGCGTGTCCTGAAACCCAGACATAGCTGGGTATGAAATATAAAACTTGAGCCCAACGTCTTATTTGAACCCATTTGTTTACTTCATTCACTGAAATGAATTCATTTACTCATCCGCACACTAAAAACAGGACCCCTTTGCTGCTGACTCAACAACAGACACTTATGGTCATTCTGGTGCACACCAAGTTCAACTTGCAGCAATGGCCACCATTCACAGAGCAGAGGTTTTGCTCATAATCACTTCACTGCAAGCAAAACCATTTCCATCTTTGATTTTCCATCCTGTTACCTCCCTGTACGGCCATGATATTGGGGGATTCTTTATCTACATCCCCACAAGTGCAATTATTTCAGCGTGTTGTGCTATTACTTTTTATTTGTTATTTAATTATTATTTATTGAAACACCAATGCCACGAAGCATCTTCCTTATGACATCCCAAACCCAGGGCTGGGACACAGAGCTGACACCTCCGGCCTGTCACAGGAGAAGACTTTGCAACACTTTGGGGCAAAAATAAAAAAATACGTATATAATTAAAATTAAAACACTTTTAAAAATAAAAAATAATAAAAAAAAAGCACGCCGGGCTGTAGTTTGGGACTGAGGGCCCCGCAGGACAGGCGTGCGGGCTCCCTGAGCCGCCCCCGGCCCGGTGCAGTCTCCGGCGGGCGGAGGCCGGGCGGGAAGGGAGGCCAGGAGGCCGGGAGAGAGGGAGGAGAGCCGCGAGGAGCCGGGCGCGCCAGGGACTGCCTCGATGGGCTTGAAAAATCACTGCAGCAGCGGCGGCGGCGGGCAGGGGGGCGATGCAATCCCCGGGCTGCGCGCTGCCACGCCGCTCTGCCCGCCTCTCCGGCAGCTCCCGGCCCCTCTGCCCTCCAAAACTTTCCCCTCGCCCCTCCCCGGGGTGCGAGCTAACCCCGGGCTGAGCGGTGAGCGCCGGCCCCGGGAGCTCCCGACGCGGGCGGGCGGGCGGCCGGCGGAGCATCCCGGCAGGGGGCGGGCGGGGAGGGGCGGAGGCACGGCTCCCCGCCGGGCGCTGGGTTTTCCCGACCACCCTTTCCCCTCCCCACCCGCCCACCTCCCTCCTTCCCTCCCTCCCTCCCCTCCAGAATTAAAGTTGGGACGGTGGCGCTCCGGGGATGGGTGCGAGCCAACGCCTCTGCCGCCGGCTCGCTCTGCTCCGTCCCCAGGTCGCCCGGAGCCCGCTCCCCCGCCCGCCCGCCCAGGAGGGATGCTGCTCCGGGAGCTTCTGGGGCTGCTCCGCTGTTGCTGGCCCTCCCTGCTGCTGCACTGTGCTCTCCACCCGCTCTGGGGCTCCGTGCAGGTAGGGCCGCGCTGCTGGCACGGCAAGGGGCCGGGGGGCGGCAGCAGGCAGAGCCCCCGGGCGGACCCGAGGCGGGGGCGGGCGGTGGGGGGCGCGGCGGGAGCCCCCGAGGCGGGGGAAGCCGCGGCTGGGCTCGACGCGGTCCCCCCGGTGCCCGCGATGCGGGACCGAGCGCGCCGGGCAGCCGCGCCCGGGTTCCGAGAGCCCGCGGGCGACTCCGCGCTGCGGCCGGAGCCTGGCGGAGCGGGACTTCTCTCGGACCACCGGCTCGGACAGCGCCTTGCGCTGGGGATGGAAGAGGCGGCCGAAGGAGGCGCGCACGGAGCCCAGCTCCGGAGGGCTGGTGGTGGTCGTGGTTGGCCGTGGGGGTTTAATGACGGTGGGGAATCGGGGGTTCTCCGGGCAAAAGCAGCTTTTTGACAACTTGGACACGTGTGACCTTGGTCGTGGTGCACAGTGAGCAGGGAGATGGACTGAGAGTGGCCATCCAGTTTGGAGAACCAGACCGGCAGCAAAGCTGAACTCAAATGCGTCACTTTGATATTTTAAACTTTATTTGTAATATATGTCTACAGAGGAGTGATTGATGAGCCAGCCAAGTGCTGTTCAGGAACAGAAGGGTTGCAGTTTCTTGGAGAAAACACAGTGGAGACTCCACGTCTTTGACTCCCTGTTCTAAACTTAGTGGCTCCCAAGAGATTAAATAGAGATGTTTTAATATCTTGTCTCTTGCCGTGAATGACAGAGAGGATTTGTGATCCTTGCAGATTAAAATGAACAGAAATACAGCAAAAACAACATCTTTTAAACCAATGCCCCTGTTGTAAAAACCTCTTCCACCACTACCACTGCTGTCCTGCTCAAGTATTCAGCCATCTGGCCATAAGTTAAAACTGTAACTGCATCTTTAAGGGAAGTGCAGTTGTATAGAGATGCCTTCTGAAACCTCTCTTCTGTAATCACTCAGTCAATCAAGCAGATGGGGAAAAAAAAAAAAAAAAAAAAAAAAAAAAAAAACCTTGCATAAATATGTCTCTGCAAACTACTTAGGTGATCTAACCTAATCTTTCAGAAGTAATTATGTTTAGTTTATAACAATTGGAACAGGCTATGAGAAATGCAAAAGTCAAGGGGTCCTGCCTTTCCATGCAAAAATTTGGAAGTTTTGTTGTCCCATTCTTCATCCATACCTGTGCAACTGCCTACTGTTCTGTGTAAGGACAATCAATAAACCTCCTCAGACTCAAGCTTCTTGCCTGCCTCTCCCAAAACTCTGACATATCTAAGGATCCTAGTGGCATGTAGCGATGGAAAGGACAGGTGTGGAGCACTCACCAGCATGAAGACCTTCCTGTGACAAGAACTCCCTTGTCTTTGAATCCCTCCTGTGACTCTCTTCCCCATGTTGAGTTATAATCCTTACTCTTATCTTAAAAGTTTCGCAAGCCGTACTCTTCTCAACTAATCTGTGAGTGTCCCATCTTGTCACTCTCTGTCCCTGCTCCATCTACAGCAGCCATTGTGTTTTGTCACTTCTCTTCTCCCAGCCCCTCTTTACTGGTTCGTCTGTGCTATGACCTATGTGGGGTACAGCCTTCTCTACCACATCTTGGCACTCCCTCTTCAAGCCCTGCCTTGGGACACTTTAGAGAATCTGTCAAATACTAATCAGACAAGAAACATTTATCTTATTATAAAAAAAAATCTTTTTTATTAGCCTAGTAGCCAGAACAATGACAGGAAAGAAGGGGCGATTCTGTCTGAGGCTTTTGACATACTTTTTTTTTTTTTTTTTAATTAAGTGTTCTGATAAATAATGGTGTCACATTTTTTTTGGTTTCATAAATGTGGATTTGGATTAACTCTGATGTGAATTATGCAGAGCCATTCTGGGATATACACGGCAGCATCGAGAACTCTTCTCTGTAGACTGCTTCCAAGAGACAAATGCTCTTGCCACATCAGCAGGCTTTTAGAGGTCTCTGTGCTTTTTCAGTCAATTGCACTTTTCCTTTCAAGCTTTTCTCCTTTTACCTGATTCACAAAATCACAAGAGGACCATGCTGTGGGGACCATATTAATCCTCTTTCCCCATTCCACTCTGTAGATCATGCTTGTGAACTGCTGCAACCCCATGGGACTCTACTGAAATACCAAACACTTATGAAATACCAAACACCACATGCAGATTTGTTTTTCCACTCCATGCAAAGCAGGAATAGGACCACTGTATCTGCAGGATATCTTGGATTAAAAAGATGTATCACAGATATGAACCTCAACTGAGAAACTATAGAGGGAAACCAATGTTTACAACTTTTTGCTTGCTTTTCCCTGGACATTTGTGGATCAGACTTCCACGTCGATGAATATTTAAAGATGTTTGTTTTTTTGCAAAGCATGTTCATATCAAAGGCACAAATCCATAAAGTCAACTCTCTATTTTCAGAGCAGGGAAAAAAATGAATCTCCTTGATATCCAGGCAATGCATGTCCAAACTGACAGACTTCTGAGTGTGTTTAGAAAGCCTCAGGCCAAACAATCAACTATGTTTTAGAGAGGCCAATGAGACACGTGTTCATGGCACTTACAACAGCTGGGCTGGAAGGTGCAGATGTAACATCTGGGGAGCAAGACCTGTTTGGTCCAGAGATGAACCCTCACCAAGACAACATCTGTGCCACGAGCTGACTGGCAGCCTGGCAGGTGTCTTCTTGGTCATCATCTACAAAGTGCATCCAAAGCCATTCCAGGGACATACTGGTGTCTGGCAAAACAAATAGGCAATAAAGTCTGAGGACAGGCTCTAATTAGCAGACTGGTCCAGAGAGAGATTAGGCTCTTTCAACATGCTTTTTTCTCCTGCCATCTCCTGTAAAAGCAGTTTACCTTGAATTGCAGACAGTAGGAAAGAAACATGGAGTAATTTATTTCATCATCCTCCGCCAGAGCAAGATTGCTCCCTCAAGCGTATTTTCTAGTGATTTGTTCTGCTTACCTTTAGAAGACACAAATAATAGCCTTCATTCCTTTCATAACAAGACTAATAGACATCAACAGTGGGATTTTTTTTTCTTGAAAATGAGCCAAATGTCTTTTCCTTTTTCTTAATTCTATCTTTCTACTGTTAGTTAATCTTCCTGAAACAGTCCTCCACTATTTCTCTCCCCCTCAAGACCCTCAAACTCAATTTGTGTCTTTCCTTTTCTTGCCAGATTTCAGCCAGTTTACAATATCTTTGTTCTTGCATACTAACCCTCTAAGACAAACCCCTGGCAAGGTAAAATCTGTGTTCCCACAAGTATCTTCTAGCAACTGGACATTCTACTGCGTGAGAAGGGAAGGAAAACAAACAATTTTGGTAAATGATCAGACTAAGGTATGGGGAGACCAAACAACTCTCTATTATCAGGAAAAGTATGCAGAAACAGAGAGCAGCTGGACATGTGTAGGGTTAATCTTGTCTGCAAAGTAATTGAGAAAAATATTCACTGGTTTCTGAGGACACTCTATTATCAGCCTAAGGTAGAAGAGCCTCCAGGGATTTAAAAGCAGTCAATAGTCTAAAAAAAGACCAAGCAAGCCTTTTGGTTCTGGTTGATATTAAGTTAGAGCAATAAGTCAGCATAGCTTTTCCATACCAGCACGGTGTTCAGACTCATATACACAAAGCTGTTTCTGGTCTGCATATGAGGTCGGCTCCAAGCCTGCTGAATGTTATTCTTCCTCGTCTCTGTTCTCTCCCACTTTCCTGGCTCCTGCAAGACTGCAGTGAGCCATAGCATTTAGCAACCGGAGAACCAGGTAGGGAGCAATAATTAGAGCTGGGTGTTAATACTTGCTTCTTTATCAGTTGCTGGGGCCAGTGGAAAGCAAGCCCTACTTGCTCTGTGAGCACTGCAGGTGCTGTCCCATGGGTCCAAGCCAGAAGTCCTGGGTGCTCTTCCAGCAGGGCTCCTCTTGGACATGCTGGTAACACCACAGCCTGACACACAAACAGCCTTGGAAGAGCTGAAACAGTGTAGAGGATATTTTGCTGCCTGTGATCACTTACTTTAAAGATAAATATACCTACTTAGCAGACAGATTTATTACCAGCTATGAGGGATTACAAAGCCCAGTCAGTTTGATTCATTAGAGCATTCAGAGAGTTTGTGTAAGTTCCTGGAAGCTGCCTGAGATGATCTTTAGCCATCCTCTTGCTGTTACCTGATGGTGAAGGGGAAAGTTGGAAGGCACTTGTACTGAATTTGTTTTTCCCTATGTTTGGTAATAGATTTTGACATGCTGTTTAAAGAACTGAGCCTTCTGCCTTGTGCTGTGCCAAGCCGTCCTTCCAACTCAGTTGCGCATAGCTCTTTCTATTCTTTTATTCCCTCTCTATAATATTTAATCAACAAAGCCCTACCGCCATTTCCCCGAGGCCAGAGTAATGCATCTTTCTGCATTTAGAAACCTCCTACGCATGTGAACATGTCTTTTGTGCTGTGATGCTGTTTTAATTAGCCACATCTCTCTTGTTGGACAGAAATACATGAAAAGACTGCGTGCAGCTCTCCTGCAGCCAGGAGATACCTGGCTGTGGGCCATGGGAGAAGCTTGCTGACCATGCTGGGGGCTAGGGGATGAAGGGGAGAGGAGATGGGCTCTGCATGCCTGGAGCTGGCAGGAGAAGGGAGGCAACCCAGGGTGGCTGTGGGGATAGATAAGGACGCAGAAGGGGCCTACCTAAAGCAGGTCAGAGGGGCAGGCATGAGACATCCTCTGTGTAACGACCAACGTGCCATGGAAAATAGATAATTCAAGAATATGATGTTAGCCTAAAACTGTTAGGACAACAGCCCTCCCAACACCAAACTGTACAAGGCAACAGCTGAATACTAGTGTCACTTCCCTGGGCTTCAGTGAGACATGGGTCCATCTCAGGCAGGATCCTAACCCTACATTCAAAGTTCTTGTTAGATAACATGCTGCTTCATCTTATAGGCTCTGTCTCCTTAAAAGAGTATCCTGAGACTCTGTTGGAGTCTCAGTCCTTTCAAAAAAGCTGGCTTAAATACCTCTGAAATTAACACCAGTCAGAGGCTCCTGCAATATTCCCCAAATTTACTTTTCATTAGGGACTTACTCCACTTCATTTTTTAGCATTTGATCAGGAATTTTACAGTCACTGAATATTCCTTAAGTCCCCAGTCATGTAAATATTATTGCCAGTAAGAAAAATATGCTGTTAATACGTGCTGCTTTTCATGATGAGATCAAGATATTGAATACATTGAATACTGGCTGAATTGTTGTCCAGGGCTAACCCACTTGGGTTCAACAGTATTTACACTTGGGCTTTGCAATGCCCCCTCTTCAGCTTTCTAACTAACCAATACTGCATGTTACGGAGGCTACAAGTCACAGTTTGTGGCATTTCCATTTTCACCATGCCATAGATGTGGCCTATAGATGGGTAAAATGTGGGTTCCCTCTCGCCATAGTGGGAAGTGAAGTACTCTGTGAAATGCTCTCCAAACATCAGAGGGAGGCTAGCACAACAGAGATCTCATCTGGCTTTCAGTTCTGCCATAAGGAAAATGAACATAATCCTGACCCTAAATGTCTTGTAATTTTTTATTAGCTCTCTTTGGCTTGCAGCAACGACCCTGTGAATAATGCATGCTGCTAGATGGCTTTCCTAAGGAAAGAAGGCTTACGCAATCATATTGTCTGCCACTACCCGCCTTCTCCCTACCTCATAATAACTCAGAAACCAGCTGTCCAATTTCAACTGCATTTGACAGAGGGAAAGAGGTCTTGAAGATACTATGTTAAGTAAAAAATAAAATAAAATTGAGACCACATGGGGAAGAGACCTTGTAGTGGCCTCAGTGAAAAGCAGGCGGCGGCAGGAACTCAGTTCTCACCAGGGGATGATGTGCCACTCGGGAGCTTAAGTCCAAGAAGCACATTCATGGAAAATAAGTTTTCACTCTTTCTGCTGCTCATGCAATGACTTGTTTCTTCACAGATCACTCAGGGCGAGCCCCAGAAGTCATGCCCCAAGCCTGTAGCAGACAAAGTGACAGAGAGCTGCCAGGAAGTTTGCCAGTGCAGACCACCTCCACCATTGCCACCACCCCCTCCACCTCCGCCGCCCCCGAGGTTGCTGGTGGTGCCGGGTAAGTAGCCACTGGTATGGCTGTGGTGCACTGAAGGGGTGCAAAGCAATGGGAATACCTGGACAGATGGAAGGAGAAAGGATGTGGAAGAGGGCACAGCTAGCTCATTTGTCATTTTCCACTTAGCAAATGGAGGAAAAAATGTTCTCAGTGGAGATGGAGATCTGTTTTCTGATCAATGAATAGTACTTGGCTTTTGGAGGAAAGCCAGAGAAATTCCCTCCTTTTGTTGTATTATATATGATTCCCTGGCTTTAATTGGTTTGCTAATGTCCTAGTCCTGAGAAATGCTCTCCTACGCAGACAAAGTGCTGTGCTTCCCCTTGATTTGTATGACCTACTGTTTTACCAGGTACACACCTTGGAGGTCCTCGTGGTCTGAGGCAAATTAATTTACAAGCAGGCAAAATTTTCAGCATTCTGTCTAGTCCAACCCAGGAGGGAAAGGTGGAATTGGCAAAGAGGCTGTGTGGGGTCTCCGTCTTTGGAAGTCTTCAAAAGGCAGACAGGCAAGGGCTTCTTTGAGCAGAAGACTGGAGTTAGCTCGTCTCCAATTTACTTCCAAATCAGTACTTCTGTGATCTCTGACACATGAATCCTTTCCAGAGAGTGGAGAGTCGCCTCGTGCACAGATAGTTGTGTCAGCGGTCCCCAGAGAGGAGTTCCTTGGCAGTGCAATGGACCTTGCTGGCACTACATGTACTAACTGGTTGCAGGGACACGGGCTGAACCCTGTGCAGGCACCTTTAGATCCCAGGTGTTTGGTATTACAGCAAATTTCCTTAGCACTACTATATTATTGCAAATTTGTCTCTCCCTAAAAGGCTGCTTATTAATTCTTCTCCCTGCTTAGATAAACTCCCCTGGAACAGTGTTGTAAAGTAAAATGGGAGAAGAATTTATTAGGTAGCATCATTTGGATGTTTGCCTTTATCAGCTCCATCCCCAGATTTGTAGAAGACATGAGGAAGGCTCCTGCACAGTTTTTAGCCTGCTAGAGGACAGGCAGAATTTTGCAGTGTTTTCTGCCAGCAGTATGCTTCGTATCTGTGCCAGGCTGCAGAAATTTAAGGCAGAGGCAGGAAAAAAAAAAAAAACAAAAAAAAAAACAGTAATTTGAAACACTTGGAAAAGGAAGTACAAAGACAGCTTGAAAAGCAGAGATGAAGGTTTTTAGTAGCAGGAGAAATCTCTTTCAATATTCAATAAAATGTTATGGATGTTAATAGTAGAAATTGCCTTGATCTTTTTCTCACGGTCAGAAACTAAAGTGTTTGCCACTCCGTTTTCTTGTACTTGGGCTACCCATTGCCTTGGGGAACCACTCTTACCCGTTTGCGAAGCGGCAGAGCAGTGCCAGCACTGGTCCTCAGCATGGTGCTCAGCTGCTCTGGGAGGACTCTGCTTTTCTTTTTCTGGGCTGCCGCCAGGCAGCTGCTCTGCATGCATGGATTTGTCTACTGCGAAGTGGGAGGAAATCATACCAGAAAAAAATAAGTCTGTCACACGTTGCAAAAAGAGGAAACAGAAATCAAACGGGCCTGTGACTGGGATAGCCTGATGCTTACTCAGGCTGGATTGCCAGGTGCTAGCCCAGTTCTAAAAATGAGCTGTATAAATCCAGATGACTAATATTTAAACAAGCTATTTCATTTCAAATGCAATAAAAAAAATAGATTACACATTCCTTTCACGAGTAAGCTTTAGAGTAGCAATCAAATGCCTCATCTTGAAAGATGCTTTCATTATTATCATCTGTCTAGGCACTGTGATTTAGCCCACATGTACAGCAATCCCCATCCTTGTGAGAATGAGCAAGCCTTGTGGTTAAATATTGATGTTACGGACACTGCTTTTAAGCAGCATTTGGAGGAGAGGGCAGTAAAGGGACAAGACAAGCTATAATTAAATGGTTGATGCTAGGTATGCACTTTGCACTTTTTCAGTGATTAAAGTGTTGGAAAGACCTCAGCAAAAAGAAGGAGCAGCCCAGGAGGCACAAGTTTTTTACTTTTACGTCTTTGAGAAGACGCTGTCGTTGCTTTCAGAGCTTTGTTGGCCCCAAAATGCTGCAGCCTGCTAGGCACAGTCCTTAACAGCTATTTGTGCAATTGCACTGAAAGTTGTTGGAGGTATAAATGATCTCCACATGTTGTGGTTTGGACCTAATGATGAAAGCCAGTACGTATGTAACTCCTGTCCATCCAGCTACTACAGACATTGGCAGCTCAATTATCTGTTAAATGAAGCCATGTTAAATGAAGCACTCTTTGACATGTGCTTTTTGGTCTCCAGTTGCTGCTACGGAAAAGTGGAGGACCCTCTTTGTGTACTCTCCATCAATCACACGTCAATGTTTTGCAAGCCCTACTTGGATGTATAGAGTGGCATTAGATACCTGCCTGTGAGCAGCTGAATCAGTCGCTGATAGGTTTTTATTGTCATTGAGAATCATAGAATCATAGAATGGCTTTGGTGGGAAGGGACCTTAAAGACTACCCAGTTCAAACCCCAGTGCCATAGCCAGGGACAGCACCCACTAGATCAGATTGCTCAGGGCCTCATCCAACCTGGTCTTGAACACCTCCAGGGATGGGGCATCCACAACCTGTCTGGGCAACCTGTTCCAGTGCCTCACCACCCTCTGAGTGAAGAATTTCCTCCTAATCTCTAATCTAAACCTCTCCTCTTTTACAATAATTCAGGACTTTCAGGAACAATAAGATTGCATTTAGTATCTCTTCAGGCTGGTCCATCCAGTGACAAATCCTCAGCTCTGCTTCCTACAGATAATATTTAACAGATTTATATAAAACTATGAATTCCAGAATTCACATATAATTGCTCATAAATTCTGTGTTCACTCTGATGGATAATAAGCTAATTCCCTCCGCAGAAAATAAACAGAATCACATACAACTTAGCAGTCAGGCAAAACAAATGAGAGGTGACAAAAACACCAACTTGTGTGTATGAAATGTATGGGTTGTGCTACAGTGCACCCTGTGGAGATGTATCATCCATTCAGCAATATAAGTACGGGAAATTAAATTAGATCATTTGGCCAATATATTTCCCAACATGGATAACTAAATTACGGACTGGTGGATTCAGGGAATGTCTCCGGCACCCAGACTGCAGGTCCCAGGAAAGAAAACACAGGCTATTTTTGTTCTCCCTCAGCCACAATCAGAGGCCTGCTTTTTCCATGTTTCTAACTCCTTCACACAGGCTATTGGCATTTCCAATATCTCTTCCAAACCCTATTATTGCCTTCACTGCACCTGCTCTGCAACTATCGTGGGACTTTACTCCACACCCTGCAGCAGCATATCCATGTTGAGTAGAGGACTCTTGGTCTGCTATAGTGAATCCTTCTGCTTTATGGTATCTAAACGAAGGCTGGGTCAACCACACTGGTTACTGTGGGTGCTGCTTCTTTCAATACCGCTAGGCCAGAGTTCAGTCTATAAATTGGGACACGTGGATCTTCGCCATGATTATTTCAGTTTTGAATTTCCTGAGCTTCATGCCAAGTGCTGTTTGTTTATGTCTCAGATACTGCTATCTGTTTTGGTATAGACATGTGCCTTGCTGATGGTCTTCAAGCTGAGGAGGTCCAGCCATGTCAGAAGTAGCTAGGATGCTGGGGACTGTGTGGCAAACTGGTAAACTGGTGGCAGCTGTCAGGAGACATGGTGGTTGAGCCGATTATAGTTTCTCCAGGCTGTCTGGCATGTTTATATTTCTACAGTATCTCTCCTTATACAAGCAGAAGCTTGCTCTTTAACCCATGCCTAGAAAACTGCTGGATAACAAAGTGAAGGGAAAGCTCGTGAGGCTGTGAGGGTCTTAAGGCCAACTAAGTTTAGATGCTAACAGCAAAGAACATATGAACTTTCAATGAAATTCACCGTGTTCCCTAGACGTTGCTTTAATGACCTGGAGGAGCTAGGGATTTTCAGAATCTGGCCATTAATTAACTGTTCCTTTCTTCCCCCCACCCCATCTACTTTCCTCCCTGTCTCTGGATTTCAGCCAAGACTAAGTAAGGCAAGGTGGATGGAGTACTTGTTTAGGCAGCATTTCTAACCCAGCTACACAGACTCATGAGATTAAGCTAGTTCAAATGATGTTGACCCTTCAAAATCTAAAACATTGCAGTTGTCAACCTTTAAATTCTTTGTAAGCACACAGTATTCTCCAGGGCCATGGCAAAGAAGAAAGAAATTCATCTGGAAGTAGAAGCTAGGCTTTCAAAATAGGGAAGGATTGAAGGCAGACATCCAAGTAGAGACAAATACAGCAGTCAGTATCAGTTTTAACCTGCCTAAGGTTTGAGGAAAAAACAGTTCAGAGGTGACTTATTCAAAATGAATCAAGGAAGGGAAAGGATGTTCAGCACAAACACTTCCCTCACTGGTTGGCAACATTTGCTGTCTCTTCTCTGTCCATCTCCTGCACTGGGTAAAGAGTCCATGGTACCGCCATCCCTTCACTGATGATGGAATTGTCAAATCAAATAGTGCTTCAGTTGAAACCTAGAGGAGGAAATGTGAATAAAAGCTTTTATCTGAGATCATTACAAGCAGAACTAGCACAAATGAGTCTGGGTATGTGAACCAGCCTTTGACTCATTGGACACTTAAACATACATACACAGTTAGGTCTTTATAGCTCCTGAATTCTGTGAGTTTGCCTTAAGCTCTCAGTTGAGATAAAGCACCATCAAGTCACAGTGCAAAGCCAAAGTGAATGACATCATTGTAGAGGACTTTAATCTCAAGGCTGTAATGGTACAATTTGTTTTTTCAAGGTGAAATCTTAATCTTTGGAGATAATGCATCTAATTAACTAATGATTTGGTCTGAAAATGCCAAAACAAAAATGACCAACTGTAGTCAGGGAGCAACTTTTTGGCAACTATATGAGCACAAATGCATAGCTTAATTTCAGAAAGTGTGCAGAGTCCCTTCAGTGCAAACAGGAAAGCTAAGGAC